GAAAGTCGACAGTCTGGAAAGCATTTAAGGCATTTGCCAAACGGAAACACGATACAAGGCTTCCACTTCAAGGAAAAGAGCTGAAGTGATCTCGATAAGAATAAATTCAAAATCTGACATTCAGAAAAGACAGAGATGCAATCCAAGGATATTAGAAAAGCAACAAAGCAAACATTAAAGGAATCGTCAGACAATGAGAACACTGACTCAGTTTACACGCGCGTTTTGATCTAAACGAATCAAAGCAAGTATTATAAAAGAATTAATTGAAAAACGCACAAATTGCGTCCAGAAAAATTACCATTTTTCCACTGCGTGCTTGGAACTTAGGGCCTGCGCGGGGATCTCCACACATCCGACCAACGTGTTGCTCTCGCGCTTTTTCTTGCGGTCCGCTTCTCGGTACAGCCTGACGATGATCTGGTCGAGCTTAACCAGGTGTCTAAAAGAAGCCTTTGCAGTGACTCGTACATCGTTCAGTCAACAAATTATGAACTGATTAAAGAAGGTCATTAAAAGACGATACCCTTAAAACATTGAGGCTAATCTAGCAAACAAATCATATAGTCCTTAAAAGCTAAACTTCCAACGTCAACAGAATACACGGCGAAAAGAACCACAAGCACAGGATGGTCAGACAAGAAACACTGAGGCGAAGTCAATTCATTCCACTAGCATGGTAGTCTTGAGTCTGAAACAACTCACCAACGAAAGACTGGAGAAAGAAAGCGGTTGCGAAGGACCTTTCTATCAAAGCTGTATGCATTCGTGATTAAGGGGAAACACGGATCACCTTCAGGAGAGTCGGCGGATGCTGAGAATGGCGAAAACAGCATCGAATTACAAGATGGCAGAAAATACATAGGCTGCATTACGTGGAAGACCAAAAACTGGGCGCTGTCACTTTTGCGCTGAGGCTAAGCAGCATGTTCGTTTGCCGGCAGATCGGGAACGGGTGAAAGCCTTTCTGAAACAACCAGCACGCGATTCGGAAAGAAACGGCGAGTTTTTTGAAGTGAATGAACGTCATGCATGAAGAAAACAATTTCCGCGCTTTAAGAGATAGTACTGTAGCTCTGATTGCACTTCAATCGCATTTTCGGTATAAACTTTCAATGCTTTAGGCAAGATGGTGTCACATTTCGCACTACTTTCCTGCCTGCTTTAATGATTAGACATGAGGAAACGGCCCGGCAGTTTAAACGGTGGTGTCGAAAAGTTGGCTCTTCAGCCACAACCTTTCGATCTGCACTGTGCCTTCAACCACTGAATCAGAAGTCTCTCTTTCGCCGTCGCGTAGATGGCATGAACCTGCGAACACATCAGTTTAAGCTGCCAATTCCGTTACCGCAGTGATAGTCGAACGATCCGGGAAAGTTTAGTCGTGTTCATGTGTGTGGTTCGATCCAACGGCCGCTCGCGAAAAAAGCTCTGAATGGACCGATGCTCATCACCGAACAGCAAAAAGCGAACCTCCGCCAATGACTGAACAGTTAGCGCCTCTGGCGTAGGACGAAGCCCAAGATTCGTAAGATATATTTTCATCAACAGCCTCGCAACATGTTCCACAGCCCGACCGACACAGAGCTGTCTCCTTGTCAGTGGATCGAACGCTTTGAATAAAGAGAAGCAACTGTTCACCCACTGCCAGAAGTTTAAGTTCAAGTTTAACAATCCAAAGCGTCGACCATTAGCGCTGCCCCACCTTCCCCTTCGTGAACCTCCATAGTACTTTTGGGTGTGACCGGTTCAGTGTCACTCTGTACACTTTTGCAGTGTATGGAGTAACGAAAATAAACGAATCACATAGTGACTCCGCCATTGT